GGAACCTTCCCCGGGCACCTTCCGAAGCCTCCCGTCACCCTGTTTAGGGTGTCTGCTCCAGTGGGGCGGCTGGAGGATTGGAGCCAGTCAACACACATTTCTCAAGTGCCTGTTGTGGGCCAGAGAGGTAAAGAAAGGCCAAACCAGGCCCTGCCTTGGAGGAGCTCCCAGTCTGACGGGGAAGAGGACATGAGACAAGCATATTCCAACATGTACTTTGATGTTCTGGGCCAGATAATCAACAGAAGCGGGTGCTGGCCTTGAGGGCAATCAGGAGAGGCTGCCTGTAGAGGGCAGTACTTCAGTCGAGGCTGGAAGGAAACCAGGAAAATCCAGATGGGGATGAGGAGAGAGAGAATTCCAGACCTCTCACAGGGAACAGGCAGTGTAGACGTCTAGGGTCAGAGGATGTGATGTTGTGTAAGAACAGCCAGGAGGCCAGTGTCACTGGAGGAAGCTAAGGAAGAAGACTGGGGGGGGGGGGGGGGGGGGGGGGTGGGAACAACGGGGGGGGGCGCCCAGGCTTAGGGGGGGGGGGGGGGTGGATGGGAGTGGAGAGAGACTGAGGCCGGCAGACCCCCCAGCAGCTGTGGCAGTAATTCCGGTGTAGAGTGATGAGGGTCTGCGCCAGGGAGGGGACGGGGACAGCGTCAGAGGAGAGAAGGGGCGAATTCGAGAGATGCCGCCAAGTGGAGATGATGGATGGAGAGGGGCCGGTAAGAGTGGAAGGTCAGAGATGACGCTGAGGTTGCGAAGCCGGCACCCTCAACAGTAACAGGAGCTTCAGAAGAGGGAGGAGTTTAAAGCTCTTCAACCCTGCCCCGCTCTCACGTCAGACTGTCCAGGGGGTGCTGGGCCTCGGTCTGGGCTTGTGTTAGGCTCCCTGAAAAATCAGAGCTCTTCAAGGGGCCTCCTGTGCTGGAGTGGAAGGGGGAGGGAGGAAGGAATAAGCGATGGGCCAGCACTTACCGGTGCCGGACACTGCAGCCAAACGCTTTTTACAAATATTCTCACAACAATCCGGGGAGATGGGTGCTGTCATTATCTTCATTTTATATGTGAGGAAACCGAGGCAGAGGTGAAGTGGCTTGCCCACTCAGCTAGTAAGTGTCTGAAGCTGGATTTGAACTCAGGGCTTCTTGACTCCTGGCCCAGTGGAAATGACCTCTCCTAAGCCCCTGGTACGGGGGCTACCGCCAGCCTTGCCGAAGGCTTCATACCAGCTAATGACTGTGATGGGACCAAGTCCAGTTCTCCAGCTCCCTCTGGATCTGGACTCTGAGGACCCGGGTTTAGAGGCTGGCTCTGCTGCTGACTGGCCGGGTGACCTTGGCTGAGTCACCTCTCTGGTCCTCAGTGCCACCAAATCCAGACGAGCTTCCCCCTCTAGGACTCTGATTCTGTGAACTTCACGGAGATTTGTCAAACGCGCGGTGAGTGCTGTGCCATCCCCAGCGAAGGCCCCTTCCCTCCGTGTGCCCTCAGCCACACCGCCATCGGTTTTCTTTTCTTTATCTTTTAATCTCTTGCTATCTTTTGTTTCCATAGAGCCCTCCTTTCTGAGTTTATCCCCCCCGTCCTTAACTCGGTAGTCATCTGTTGTGGTCAAGGAAAATACTAATAATGCCTAGCATGGATGTGGCCCTTGAGGTTTAAAAAGAGCTTAAAAGGAGTAAAAAAGCCGTTGACAGGAGGGTCAGCAGTCTGGTCCCCTGCGCGGCGTCCACCGCCTCACGGGAGGGAGGAAGGGGAGGGTGGGCAGCTCCTCGTCTCCTCTTCCTTCCCCCCGTCTCCCTCATAGCGCTGTGCGCCATGTCAGCTCCGCTGCTTTACCGTCACCAGGTCGTCAAGGTCTTCCCAGGCCTCTCCCCGTTCTTCCTCTTCCTCATTTTGCTACCCTTCTATTTCACGAGAGTCACGGGCCACGTTTGCCCAGCCGTTCCCCGCTCCTGCCTTTCTCGTCTTCTCACCTGTTGCTTCTTGGAGGTCCTGGCTGTTTCTTCCCTTCCACCTCCTGTCCCCTATCTGCCCCGTCCCCTTCCTGGCCGTGCCCCCGAACTGGGATTCTCTCTTTCCTCATGTCCACCTCCTGGTTTCCTTCAAGCCTTAGCTGAAGCTCTGCCTTCTACAAGAAGCCCTTTCTCCTCCTCCTCCTTAAGTGGGGCCTTCTCTCTGAGATTACCCCCCATTGTTCCTCAAGAGGGAGGAGACAACCCAGAGCAGAGCCCTGAGGGACACCCATGGTCTGAGGGCTTGATCTAGGAGAGGATCCAGCAAAGGAGACGGAGAAGGAGTGGTCAGAGAGGGAGGAGGAAAACCAGGAGAGCCGGTGTCCTGAACACCTGGAGAGAAGAGAGTACCGCGGTGCAGAGAGTGATGTGATGGACAGTGTCAGAGGCTGCAGAGAGAAAGGATGAGGACTGAGAAAAGGCCGTTGGATTTGGAAACTAAGAGATCACGGGTAGCTTTGGAGAGCAACCTAGGCACAAAGCTGCGAGTGATCCAAGGCTGAGCCTCAGCTGGGTGGATGGTAAGGGGCGAGGGATTCAGGAGGGTCAGGCAGGGCAGAGTTAAGTTGGTTCACCAAGGGACCAAAGTGGGGAGAAGAGGAGAAGGTGGCCCGGGAGAGAATAGAGTGGTCCAGGGATTGGCGGTCGTGGTGCGGATGAAGAGTAGGGTCATGCAAGGGAAGGCAGAGGAAGAGGTGAAAGCCCATCGATTATGACTGCAGAATCCCCAAGCACAGAGGTGGTGCGTCTGTGGGTGACGGCAAGGTCACGGGTCTGCCCATCTTTGTGTGTGACCGAGGTGGGGTGGAGGGGTGACTTGTGGGAGGTGAGTGGCTCGGGGGTTTGAGGGAGAGTCAGGATGTGTGATGAAATCCCCAGAATGAAGGCGGGAGTTGGGAGGAGAGAAAGTGGTGCGGACTGAGCTCAGTGAGGCAGGGGGGCCACCTGGAGATCTGGAGGCAGCAGCTGCCAGGATTCACACCCAAGTCCTCTTGACTTCACATCCACTGTTCTTTCCACAAGCACGCTGCCCTTGTTTGGACCTTCTGGTGGCCTGGAATCCCTCTGTTAGCGGACCAAAGCTCCCCTTTCTAAGGAACCCTGAGCTATGCAGCACCCTACTCAAGGGGGAAGGGGCGGGGAGGGCTTTCTGTTCACACTTGCTCCCATGGCCATTCTGTGTGCATCCTTAGGTGAGCCACCTTGGATAGGAGGGAGAAGGGTCATCCGGGCTGGCCCTCCCTCCCCCTCCTCCGCCTTCCTCTCTTATTTGCAGAGAGATTACCTGCGCCTTCAGAATGAGCTGGTCTCAAAGCCAAGGTTGACTTTTTGCCTTTGATGCTCCCAGAGAATTGTGCATCACACAGCTCTCATTAAACTGGTCCGTGCAGTCCCCCAGGCTTAGAGAGAGCAGAACAATGTCTGCTGAACCATATGGCTGTCCCCTGGGAGCTGGGCGGCTCCAAGCCCTGGCTAGTCTGGAGACAGACCGAAGGGGTGAGTGGCTGAGGAGGCAAAAGGGGAAGGGGGCCGGCTTCTCCTCCAGAGAGAGCCAGCCCTGGCTGGTTGGGGGTCAAGGGACCCGGGTTCGAGTGTCTGCTCTGCTCTTTATTCCTTGTGTGACCCTGGAGGAAATCATTTCCTGGGCAGGCTCAGCATGAGGTCAGGGGACACTGAGATGAGTCACCAGCTCCCCTCAATTCTGGAGAGACTTAACTCGACCCAGGAGAGGGACCCTGAAGGAGGCCCCCGCCCCGTCTTTGCGCCTCTCTGTCCATTCGGGCCCCCTCTGTCTTTGGGAGGCCTTAGATCAGGTTTCCTCACAAGAGGGAGGGAGCCCTGGCCCTGGGGGGTCTGAGGCCAGGTCTGGGCTCTGCGAAGTATCATCTGTGCGTGTGGTACAGTGATCAGAGCTCTGGCTTTGGACGAGCCCCTTTCCTCTGGACCTCAGCTCCTCCTTCGTTGCAGAATGAGACGATGGGATGGGACGCCTCTGCGCTCCCAACTCTGAGCCTTACACCCTTTGACCTCTCGGGCCTCAGTTTCCTCCTTGGTAAAATGGAGTTTGGGCGGGTTGGTTCTAAGTGCCCTTCTAGCTCTCGTGCTCTGGGGCAGTTTGAGGGGAGCCCAGGCGCAGCATCTCACCCCCAGCTCATGGTAGAACTCCTTGGCAGAAGCGTGATTGACTGTGGGGGCCGGCCTCCGCTGCCCTCAGGCCCGCCTCTGGATTTCTCAGCAGAGGCACATGCAGGCCGTCCAGTGTCGCAGGGCAGGAGGCAGGCACGCTGCTGCCAGGGGAGGGGGCGAGCTTGCTCCTTGCGGGTATTTCCTTCCGGCTCCTCTTGCCACTGGGCGTTTTCTCCTCCGCTGTTCCTGACTCCCCTTTTTAAAGATTCTTCATTTGCCCCAGGTTTCCGCTCGGGGTGGGCTGCAGGCATCCAACCTCATGTTTGTGGGAGTGGGGGCAGATTCTGCTGCCCAGCCCCTGGGAGCCGGGGTGAAATCTGGGCAGCAGTCTGGGCTAGTGGAGGGAGCCCTGCCCTGGGCCTAAAATGAGAGGATTAGGCTTAGTGGTTTTAATATCCCTCCCAGTTCTGCCTGACATTTCATGTTCTAGGTTCTAAGGCCCCTCCCAGCTCTGACCTTCCCTGTTCTAAAGCCCCTACCAGCTCTGACATCCCTGTTCTAAGGCCCCTACCAGCTCTGACATCCCCTGTTCTCTAGGCCCTCTCAGCCCTGACATTCTGTTCTAAGGCCTCTCTCAGCCCTGACATCCCTGTTTTAAGGTCCCTCCCAGCTCTGACATTCCCTGTTCTATGTACCAAGGTCTATCCCATCTCTGGCATTCCATGTTTGTATTCTAAGGTCCTTTTCAGGTTTGCCATCCTTTGTTCTGTATCCTAAGGTTCCTTCTAGCTCAAACATTCTGTGTTCTAAAGCCTCTTCCCATCTCTGGCATTCTCTGATTCTTTCCACATTTTTTTCTTTCAGTGCCTGGAAATCTTGGCTGCTACAGAGACCACGGGAACCCCCCTCCTCTGACCGGAACCAGTAAGACATCCAACAAGCTCACGATTCAGAACTGCATCAGTTTCTGTCGGAGTCAGAAATTCAAGGTAAGAACGTCTCGGCCTACTACAAAGAACCTTCTTCATGTTAGAACCTTCTGAAAATGCCTGAACCTTTGGCTAAACAGCCCTTGTCTGAGGCAGTGGGTTTAGAATTGTTGTAATTACCTTCCGCAGAGGGCTGGGGATGGGGCCTGTGCTTTCATTAGACTGGGGAAACTCCCAGGTGAGGAAGCCCCCTCCCCCAGGGCAGATCAATGCCTCTGCTGCAACTTCTGGCCTTAGAGCCATTGGGAGGGTCAGTGACTTGCCCAGGGTCACACAGCCCATGTGCCTCAGAGTAGGGACTTGAACCCGTGGCTTTGAGACTGACTGTCTTTCCACGCCACAGCAATCCATGTGACTCGTCTCTCCTGCCAGGTAGGTCAGAGCCGGGAGGGGTCTCAGAGTCCAGCAATAAGCCTCTCCCCTCTGCTCAGACGCCTCTCATGACGGGGAGCTCACTATCTCACAGGGCAGTGTGTTTCTTTTTTGGATGGCTCTCATTGTTGGGGCTCCTGAATCCTCCTCCCTCTGGCTCCCCACGTGGCTCCTCTCTTTCAAGGCCACAGAGTAAATCTAATCCCTCCAACCAACGTCACCCCTTCTAGATATGCAGCAGCCACAATCGTGGCCTCCCCCGGAAGGCCCCTCCACTGGCTGTCAGGTGACACAGCTTTAAGGCCCTTCACCAGCTGGGCCTTTGTGGTGACCACCCCCAGGCCTCCAGCTGCGGTCTGCCCAGCTCCGGGTCTCCCTCGGTCTGGACGCTAGACCTGGGCTTAGGGAAGCTCTGGGGGCTGCCACGTCAAACAGTGGGTACTGCTGGTACCAGCCTGGCACCCTGGCAGTTTAGAGCAGGGCTGGGGGGATGTGTTTGCTCAGGAGCCGAAAAGGGTCAGGGAGGGAGCATCTGTTCTCAGTTCTGATCCCAGGAAGCCCCCTGGTCTAGGGACGGCCATCTGGGCAGGCAGAGTGCCCTCTGCTTCTGTCTGAAGAGCCCCTTTAGTCCCAGCACGGAGGCCACCCAAAGGAGTAGTCCAAGCAGAGTGCAGAGCCCTGGGTTTGAGTCCTGCCCTCTCCCTGACTCCCTGGGTCCCCATCTTGGGCTCTTCCTGTAACATGAGGGCTTTGGCCGCCTCCTTCCAGCAGCCCTCATTGGAGTAGGATCCTCTGGGGGCAGCCAGCCGGGGCTGGGGGTGAGGGGGCAGAATCAGAATGAGCCGGGGCGGATGCTCCTTCTTCCCTTTAACTGATGTCAGCCCCCATCAGCTTTGGTGCCTCTGTTTCTCCTGCCACAGTTTGCTGGGATGGAATCTGGTTACGCTTGTTTCTGTGGCAATAATCCCGATTACTGGAAGTATGGGGAGACAGCCAGCACTGAATGTAACAGTGTCTGCTTTGGGGACCACACCCAGCCCTGTGGTGGCGATGGCAGGATCATCCTCTTTGACAGTGAGTATACCCCAAGTCCTGGGGCCACCGATGACTGAGGAGTTCTGGATGTGACAGTGAGAGCTGGCCGCCGTTGGGGCAGCAATGGAGGGATGGATTCCTGGGAGCCACGGGGCAGCTGCAGAATCCTGCGGAGTGGCCCTGTCCCTTGCAGCCGTCCCAGCTCGTTCTGCCTGACTCCCATTCACAAGTCCTGCTGTCCACCCCACCCCTTCTCCTCACCCCAAAGCTGAGCCCAGGCGCCCCCTATAAAGCGTTTGCTGACCCCACAACTGCCCATACCCTCCCGATAAATCCCCTCGCTTGTCAGTTTTGTGTCTGAGGGGATGTCAGCTCCTTGAGGACGAGGCTGGGGGTCCCTTCTTAAGTGCTCATGGATTGTTTGAAAGATGCTGGCCAGCTGGAGAGGGCTGGCCTGAGGAGGAGGGCTGAGGCTGCCTCCGTGGCCCCCGAGGGCAAGGCTGGGAGTGACAGGTGGGGCGTGAGAGCTGGCAGAGGACGTCTCCTGGCCAAGGGGCATCAGCTGGCGGGCAGTCTCTACTCCCTGGAAGGCTTGTGGTCGAGGCTGGCTGCCCCTTGTCAGGGGCCGTAGCGGAGAGTCCTGAGTAGGTATGGGTTGGAGTCTATGGCCTCTGGGGTGCCCCCTCCCCCAGCTCCACTGTGAGGGCCGAGGAGTGGGCGAGCAGAAGGGAGGTCATTTGGAAGAGGCAGGAGGCTGGCCAGGTGCCCCCAGAGGCAGGGACGCTCCCCATCCCAGGAGGACTTCAGCTGAAGGCCAGGCTGCTCTCCTTCAGGCAGATTGTAGAAGGGATTCGTGCCGGCAGGTGCATTGGCCGGGGGCACAGGGGTTTCCAAGGCCAGATGACGAGTTTCCATTTGCTCCTAGAGGCCCTGGGCAGCCACCACAGCTGCTGTTTCTTTCTTTCTTTTTAGTTTTCAACATTCACTTCTATAAGCTTTTGAGTTTAAATTTTTCTCCTCCTCCCTCTCCTCCCCCTCCCCAAGATGGCACGCAATCTGATATAGGCTCTACTTATGCATTCATATTAAACATTTTTTCATGTTAATCACATTGTAAAGAAGAATTAGAACCAATGGGAGGAACCACAAGAAAGAAGAAACAAAACAGCAAAGGAAAAGGAGAGCAAATAGTCTGTTTCCATCTGCATTCAGACTCCATAGTTCTTTCTCTGGATATGGATAGCATTTTCCATCATGAGACCTTTGGAGATGTCTTAGATCCTTGCATTGCTGAGAAGAGCTAAGCCTATCAAAGTCAGTCATCGCACAGTGTGGCTGTTACTGTGTACAGTGTTCTGGTTCTGCTCACTTCACTCAGCATCAGTTCATACAAGTGTTTCCAGGTTTTTTCTGAAGTCTGCCTACTCATCATTTCTTTTTTTATTACTAATTTCTTTTGATTTATCAATAATCACTTCAATATGCTTTTGAGTTTAAAAATTTTTCTCCCCCTTCCTCCCCACCACCTTCCCCGAGGGCACATAATCTGATACAGGCTATACATTTACATTCATATTAAACATATTTTCACATTAGTGATGTTGTAAGTAGAAATTAAAACCAATAGGAGGAACCATCAGAAAGAGGAAACAAAATTCAACAGAAGAGAAAAAAGTTAACAATTTGGCTTCCATAGTTCTTTCTTTGGGTGTGGATAGCATTTTTCATCCCAAGGCCTCTGGAAATGTCTTAGATCCTTGTATTGCCAGGAAGGGTTAAGTTTATCAATATTAGTCATCACACAACATGGCTGTTACTGTGTACAATGTTCTCTTGGTTCTGCTCACTTCACTCAGCATCAGACCATACAAGTCTTTCTAGGTTTTTCTGAAGTCAGCCTGTTCATCGTTTCTTATAGCACAATAGTATTCCGTTACATTCATATACCACAACTTGTTCAGCCATTCCCCAATTGATGGGTATCCCCTCAGTTTTCAATCTTTGCCACTAGTAAAAGAGCTGCTATAAATATTTTTGTACATGTAGGTCCTTTTCCCATTTGTGTGATCTCTTTGGGATGCAGACCTAGAAGTGCTATTGCTGGGTCAAAGGGTATGCACAGTTTTATAGCCCTTTGGGCACAGCTCCAAATTGCTCTCCAGAATGGTTGGATCGGTTCACAACTCCGCTGCAGCTTCTTGAGGAGGGGGTAGGCCCAGGGAGAGTGCAGCAGGGCTGGTGCCCAGACTCAGCCACTCTGCTGGCTGCCATGTTGCCCTCCCCTCCCATCTTTGCTCTAACGTTGGGCCCTGCCTCCCCATCGTGGACGTGGGAAGTGGCTCCTTAGCACCCGAGTATAGCAACATTTGTCCTGGTCAGACTCCACATCTTGTTCTAGCTGGTTGGATCCTGGCTCTCTCCTCTAGTGGGCCATCACTGCCATGTCCTTGTAGAAAGTGTTGGGTGGTGCCCAGCATAGGAGAGGTCGGAGGCACGCCCTCAGCACCCTCCCCCCAGGCTCTCAGTGCTCTAATAATGGCTGTTCTTGGTGGGTGGCAGCTCTCCTGACATCCAAGCTGATTGCCTGGGGCCCCTGGGCCTTCCCGGGTTCCTAGCTGGTGGCCGTGCCTGTTGGGGCCAGTAGGGCAGCTTGCCTTAAAGCTGTTTATCCCAAAGCAATGTCAGTTCTCTGTTCTACCTCAGGCAAGTCTCTCAACTTCTCTGGGACTCAGTTTCCTCTTCTGTGAACTTTGAGCATTGGATCTCGGAGATCCCCTCTAGGTCTCGATTCAGAGATTCTCTGTTGAGGGCAGAGATCCCCTTGGGGGCTGCCGAGGGCCAGGACCCTTGGAGGGAGTGAGAAGATCGTGCAGCTGGCAGTGGGTGAGAGCCAGCTCTGGGGACCCTGCCACTTCCACTTCCCGTGCTGGCTGCCAGCCCCTCGGGAATCCAGCTCCGAGCCATGAGCCAAGGGTCAGCCCTCCTGACCTGCACTCTTCCTCTTACTGGCCAGGCCGGACCCCGGCGGATCAGATGGTCCCTGCGGGGCCTGTTGTCCCAGCGGACGACTGAGGCTCCTGGCCCTGGAGAAGCAGCTGGGTTTATATCGATGGGGGCCTGGGAGACATCGAACAGGTGCGAAGTCCCAGGCAGGGAAGACGCTTGGCTGTCCTCGAGTGGCCGGCCGGGTCCTCTCCGGACTCATCTCCCCCTCCAGAGAAGAGCGTGAACATCCTTGTCAGGTTCAAGTTTCCCATTGAGTTATCACCGACTCCTAATGAACCGTCATGGGTGGCTGCTGTCCTCTGGTTGTTAGCAGATCGCTGGCCCAGGGCCTGGGACCCAAGGGTTAGGAGTTCAAATGCTGGCTCTGCCGCTGAGCTCAGCACCCTGACAGCATCCTGCAGGTGTAGAGGGAAGGGAAGGCAAGAAGCAATTATACAGCACCTCCTGTGTGCCAGGCACTGAGCTGAGCACTTTACAAATACGATCCGATTTGATCCTCACAAAACCCTAGAGGAGGCGCTATTATTTTCTCCATTTTGTAGCTGAGGAAACTGAGGCAGACAAGTGAAGTGACTTGCCCAGGGTCACACAGCTGGTACATGTCTGAGGCTGAATTTGAACTCGGGTCTTCCTGACTCCAGGCTGAGCTCTTTATCCACTTCTTCTGCTTCTGGTGCTTCAGAAACTTATAAGGGTGTCTAGTTTGGTTATCATTTTATTATTTTACTAATTAGTTATTGTTTTGTTTTTTTATCATCGTTGTTATTATTCTGTATCATTTGGAAAGTGCTCACGGTGCTGGGCAGCACAGTGTGCTAATGAGCCCTTTCTAGGCCTGAGCTCATCTGGATCTCAGGACAGCTCTTTGTGGTGTAGGCAGGTTGAAGAATGTTGTCTGCCCTGACCAGAGACACCAGAGCGTCTGAGAGGCTGCACAGCCAGGAAGGGGCAGAGGCAGCGTTTGAACCCACATCCTTGGGCCCCTAGCCCACGCTCTCTGTACTGTGCTAGTTAGTGCGGCGCCTCAGCCTGGGAACTAGAGTGGGCAGGGCTGGCCAAGGCCAGAGGAGGAGCCAGGTGGAGCTCACCCGGCCTCCACCATCCTAGGTCAGGGCTCGCTGCCTCAGCGAGGTCCCGCGTCTGAGCCGGGAGCAGCTTGGATTCTGTTGGATTCTGTTATCCCACAGAAACCCATTTACTCTTACACACAAGTGCATGGGCATCCTAGGATTGACTTCCTTTCATACTCAGCTGGGGATAGGAGAGGATTTACTGAGGGCAAGAGGTTTGTGGGAATTAAACAGAGATCGCTAGAAAGAGATGATGGATGAATGCATGATAGATGGATAGGGAGATGCTGGCTGGTGGAGTAGATGGATCGATAGGTGGGGAGCCTGGAGGTGCACCTCCGAGCCAGCCCCCAAGAAGCTTGCCTCTCCAAGAGGGCAGACGACGCCCTCAGAGTGGCTGTGACGGGCGTGGGGAGAAGTCCCGGTGTCTGTGCAGATGGCTGGAGGGGGAGGCCCGGGGAGTTGGGGGAGGCTCCCCTGTCAAAGCCCCAGCTCCCAGACAATGGGATGGCATAGGCCGCTGAACAGACCCCGGGAGTAGAGCTGGGTGGCAGGGGAGGAGCGTCCGGAGCTCCCCCGACCTCCTCTGTCTGCTCCCGGCAGCGCTCGTCGGAGCCTGTGGGGGCAACTACACCGCCGCGTCCTCGGTCATCTACTCTCCCGATTTTCCCGACACGTACGCCGCCGGCCGGGCCTGCTACTGGACCATCCGCGTGCCCGGGGCCTCCCGCCTCCTCTTCAGCTTCACCCTGTTTGACGTCAGGGACTCAGCAGACATGGTCGAAATGCTGGATGGCTACAGCCACCGCGTCCTGGTGCGCTTCAGTGGCCGCAGTCGCCCTCCCCCGTCTTTTAACATCTCCCTGGACTTCGTCATCTTATACTTCTTCTCTGACCGCATCAATCAGGCCCAGGGATTTGCCGTCGTATACCAAGGTAAGCGTCCTCTGCTCTCCCAGCACCCGGTGCAGCTGGGACACGGGAGCCGTAGAGTGTCAGAGCTGGGGGGAGGCGCTTCCAAAGCTGCCTAGCCCAGCACCCTCATGAGACAGAGGCAGGGCCGAGGTGGACGTTCAGGCTCTTCCCCCCACCCCAGGCTGCCTCCCACGCTGGCCAGTTTGGAGTTCTTCCCACCCACCCCCGCCCCGTGCTCCTCGTTCTGATTTCTCAAGTGAGGAGCAGAAATGTGTAGGCACGCTCCTAGTAACCCCTCTTTAAAAAGTGAAATTCTCGCCTTTTGTTTGGACAGCACAGTTCTTTTCCCAGTTACAACTTGGATAAGGGTTGGAGCTACTAACCCAGGGCAGGGCTTGGGGATTCTTGGAGGCACAGGCCTGGAAGGGCACCAGGGAGGTCAACTTGTCCATCCCCCTGCCTCGAGGCAGGACTGTCCTCCTCTCACAGAAGAAATCTTTCCCTTTTTCTTTAAACCCACTGTGGACACTCCAAAGCCTGTCTGCCTTGTGCAGCTCCCGACCCCAAGCGAGCAGTCAGCGAGCGCTCAAGGCCCCCCCAGGAGCCACGTGCTCGTCCCTGGCTACCCCCCCCCCTTTAGCCTTTGGGCATCCGCTTCCTCCGCTGTGAAACGACCAGGTTGGACTGGAGGCCCTCGGACAGGGCCGAGGCTCTTCTGGGGAAGACTGACGGGGGGTGGGGGGGCAGCGTAAGACAACAGCAGGGCTCGATCTGGGAAGGCCACTGGGCCCACCTCGGTGGAGAGCTGCATGTGTGAATTGTCTCCTTTGAGCCCGACAAGCCTGGAGGCGACTTGCCCAGGGTCATGCAGCGAGGAAGTGCCTGAGGTTGGATTTGAACTCAGGCCTTCCTGATTCCAGGCCCAGTGCTCTACCCACTGTGCCACCTCACTGTTTTGGAGGAGCAGCTAGGTAGGTGAATCCTAGGCAGGAAGCACGGTGTGAGCAGAGGTGGGCAGGCAGGAAATGACCAGATGTGTTTGGAGACTGTGAGATCTGGCATCTCTGGAGGCAGCAGGGGGTCCCCAGCAGCCCCGCAGCCCCACTCCTTCGGCCATTGAGTCTCACCGCTCCCCGCAGGGTGCAGGGCATGGCCTCCCCCGGCTGCCCCAGCCTATGGTCCCCCTTTTACGCCACAGGCCTTCTCCCGTGTTTTATTTGCCTTTCAGCTCTCCAGGAGGAGGCGCCTCCAGCAGGGCCCGCCCTCAACCAGAACCTCACCGAGGTGATCACTGAGCAGGCTAACCTCAGCATCAGTGCTGCCCGAGCGTCCAAGGTCCTCTATGTCATCACGACCAGCCCCAGCCACCCTCCCCGGGCTGTCCCAGGTAGTGGCCACCCCAGCACCTACAAGTGGGGCCTGGGTGGCATCTCTGGGCACACAGCCCGAATCGCTTTGCCTGCCGCTGTCTCGCCTGGCCCCTGCGTGTCCCAGATGGCCCCCCTGGAATGGGGCCGGCCTCCTTGGCCTGGCTCCTACCCTCTGAAGGCTGAGCCCCATGGCCTGGTCCCGGCTTCCCCCGTCAGCGCCCAGAGTCTCTCCAGGCCTCGTCTGTGGGGACTGCCGGGTACTTCCTGACATTAGTGACCAGAAGGCTTGTGCCTCTGCAGCCCCAGAACTGGCATCGTAGGCTCTTCCGAGGCAACGTCTAGCACGGTGCCTGGCACATAGTAGGCTCAGTTTCCCCATTGGTAAAATGAGAGACGTCAATTTGGTGACCCCTAAGATGTTCTCTGATTCTTTGCAGGGTGATAGAATCCTGCTCCCTCCCCCAATTCAGGATGCCCAGCCTCCATTCTCTCCCCCAGACCACAGCTGTTTCAAGATCCCTGATCCCAAGAGCTCTTCTGTAAGGAGAGCCCGGAACATTTGAGGAGGATTGCCTGTCAAATGTCCCGCCGCAGCTGCCCTGCCTCTAGCCCCGGAGGCTGGGGGGGGGGGGGGGTTTGTATGTGCACTAGCTCATTTGACCCCCACACAGCAACCCTGAGAAGTGAAGCCTGCGGGGGAAACTGAGGCTTGGGGGGGGCTTGTCCAGAGTCCCGCAGCTGGTCTGAGCCCAGGCTCTCCTGAGCCCTGTCCCCTCACCTCCACTAGAGAGGTGGGGTTCTCCCCGTGGAGACAGAACAAATGGTAATCCCTGCTTTCTGCCTTCCGCAGGGTGGACGGTGTATGGCCTGGCGACCCTGCTCATCCTCACCGTTACAGCCATTCTAGCCAAGGTCCTCCTGCACGTCACCTTCAAGTAAGTGTGGGACGTCCCCAGCTGGTGCGGGAGGGGGCGTGCGGGACTGCAGACCCCCAGAGGCCACGCTCAAGGCTTGGAGGATCCGTCCCAGGCTAAGGTTTCATGGGAGGAAGGGCTAGGAATTTGCCCAAGATTGGAACAATTCGAGGATAAAAAGGAAGCGAACAGCCGCGCTTCGGGGCTGATGGCGACAGGCTGAGGTGGGTAGTTGGGGAGTGGACGCCAGCACCCGGCTGCCCTCCTGAGCCCGGCCCGCCGTGCCACGGGAGCCAAGGGCTGGGTTTTCGTCCCTCACCTCCCATTTTCCAGCTGTTCAGTGCTGTGTTTACGAGTTCCTGCTCAGGGTGTTTTCTCTGAGCCTTCAGCTCAAATTCTTTGGGAAAAGGGTTTCCTCTTCTCACAGCCCCGGGCACCCAGAGCTGTGCCAGGCCCGTTTGGGGCTGGGTGTGCCTTCTGAAGAGCGCCCGGCCACTCCTTCCACTTCCAGCACCACCCCCCCAGCACCAGGCTCTCCTGTCCCACGGCCCTGCCGAACACCTGTTCAAACAGTCAGTCTCCTCCACTGCGGAAGCCACCCTGAGCTCTGCCCGTCATTCGGGGCTCCCTCCCTCTGGGAGCCTCTCCATTCCGGGCTTTTCATTTGTCTCTGGAAGAATGTCCTTAATTAATGTTTACCAAGCTCCCTCTCCAGCCCTCTGCCGAGAAGTCATGACTTAACATGCCCTGGGAGGGCATCCCACTGCCCGAGCTGGTCTGCTCCTGCCTCTGCACGGCTCCCTGGGACACCATGCCAAGGCAGCTTCGGGGGGCACCCCAGGGGCTGGGCCGGCTTTGGCTTCAGCCATTTGTAAGATGGGAGGCGCTGGCTCGGTGACCCTGAGAGAGAGGCCTCGTGTGGGGAAAAAGCCCAGGAAAACCCCATGTGTTTGTGCTTCTGCAGGGCTCAGCACGCGGCTGCTCCCGGGGAGCTGAGGGACTGCCACCAGCCTGGGCCTCCGGGAGAGATCTGGAGCATCTTCTACAAGCCCTCCACCTCTGTCTCCATCTTCAAGAAGAAACTGAAAGGCCAGAGCCAACAGGATGACCGCAACCCCCTCGTGGGTGACTAAGCAGGCTGCTGGGCCTGGCCGACACCCCATCCCTGGCTTTGTCCTTGGCGCCAGGGCCCCCGCCACGGCCAGGTCACAGGGCCTCCCTCACACTCAGCCCCACCCCACCCCCACCCCTGCCACAGACTGGAGCTGAGGCTCCAGGCCGGCGAGGTGGCCCTCTCCTTCCACCCGGCCCTTTGTCTGGCCACCAGCTCCTACCAGTCAGTAAGAGTCTGGATGCAGGCTTGGCCCAGCCTGGATTCAACAAATCTAAGGTTAGCCACGTGTCTGGGTCTAGACAGCGAGACGTCGCGTTAGGCCGTGGCCGGCTCAGTGCCCCTCCCTGGCCGTGTCCTTGGTCCTCTGCGTCCCTTCTATCTCGGCAGTCTGAGGGCCGCCACCGCGGGCCCTCCTTGGTCTGCCTCTGTACACAGTGCTGACGATGGCTCACTTCCCCAGAGGCCTGGAGTGGATGATCCTGCCCCAGCCCTGGCAGCATCAGGTGGGTCTGATGGCCTAGGCTGCTGTCGCCATGAGGTGGCCTGTCTGGTAGAGTGGGCTCGAGGAGCAGGCATTCCCAGGAGCTGATCCAAGGCCATCTGACTCCGCCATGATGCCCTAAACAGGCATTGGCATGGCTGAGGCCCCTGAGACGCTGTAATGACTCTGGAGGGGTCGCCCGGCCTCAGGGGCTTCCTGCTCCAAGGACAATGTGGCCATCTCCCCTCCCCTCCACATCCCCCCCACCTGGAGACCAAAGCTGGGAGTCCAGAGAAGTGACCAGCACAGACGCACAGACGGGCCTCTGAGAGACAGATGCTCATGGCCCCTAGGCCCCGGGACTGAGCCCCAGCTGCCCTGGGCTGGGGACTGATGGCTGTCGCTATTTTAGAAATTCCAAGGCCATTTAAGAGCAGCCCCTGTGTCCACAACAGCTGAAAGCAGAGCAGCTCCCCTCCCGAAGGGCCCCCTGGGCTTTGTGTGGGTGTCTGGCCGGTGCCATCTGTCTGAGGAGGGGCCTTTGTGCTGGGCTCTATTCTGACTTCACACACACGGTATTTTAAGTTCTGTGCATACCTCCCCAAAGTCCCTGAGCCACTCCCTGGCGAGGCCTGTCCCAGCTCTGCAGAGGGCGTGGAAGAACAGCTGGGTTCCGTCTGCTGTGGGGGGCGGCGGCTGGTAACCTGAGTCGGGGGCAAGGACGAAGGAAGAGGAAGGGCTGAAGACACACAAGCCAGACCCTCACGTGTGAAGGGAGGTGGAGAAATGTGGCCGCAGCTTTGCTTTAAGGGCCCATTAGGATGTGACCGAGAGGAGCCGGCGTCTCAGTCTGGCTCCGGGGGCCGTGTCCTTAGCTGGGGGTCTTTGCTAGCAGGGCCACCCCACCAGGCTATTCTTAGTGCTCCTGGGATCTGCTTACAAACACTCAGGACAGGTGTGTGCGGCCAAGGGGCCCCGGGCTGAGAATAGGCCCACATGAGGCGCCGGGCCCTGAAGTCCAGCCAAGGTCTCCTCCCAGCACAGGAGCGGCTGTCAGGCTGGCCTTTAGGAAAGTCTTCCACACCCCACCTACTCCACACAGGCATGCAGGAGATGAGGCCAAAAGCCCAGAGTGGCCACCTAGGACCCACGCTGGCCAGCCCTCTCTGTCTGCCACCGGGGTTCTGGAATGAGCCGGTCAATGCCAGATTCCCCTGGGTACTTCCCCTAGAGAGCCCCCAAGAAAACAAATACCCGGCTGGGGAGGGAGCGGGGCGGGCGGGTACCAGACACCAAGAAAACATCTGAGAGAGGAGGAGAAGCCCAGGCCCAAAGGCTCATCCTTTTCCAGAGCAAGCCGGGGTGACCATGCAGTCAAACAAGAGACTTAAAACTCAAGGCACGGGAGAGGAGCTTCTGAGGGCCTTCTCAGGGAGGAAGGGGTGGGTGCGCTCTTCTGGAAGATGAGGCGCTCGCTGCCCCAGGCCACCAGCCTCCCAGCAGGTCCAGCACCTGGGGGGGCCGCTTCCTCGGAGAGCCCTTTCCCTGTCTGGGGGGAGGGCACAGTTCCCTGTACGTTTGGGTAGATGGTTCAGGACCTCCCTGGGAAGTTCTCCTGTGATAAGTAAGGGGGACGGACAGACAGCCTGACTGTGGTTAATCCTGAGTGGGTCGGAGCCCCTGAGGCAGAGGGGCCCTGCTGGGTTTCCTAGGGCTCCTGCCAGGCAGTGGGGGCCGAACCTCGAGGCCCTGCCACCCTCTTCCCCTCCCCAGGCCTCAGTCTCCTCATCTGTGAGCACGATCTCTCAAGGCCTTTCCAGCTCTAAAGCTCGGTCCATCTGCCCTTCAGGGGCCTCAGTTTCCATGGGGTTGTGTTGTGGTGAGCCAGGGTCTGCGGGTGTAGACTCTGGGATGTTTGCACTTAGTCATGAAAAGCACTTATGGGGACGGGGTCCGAGGGCCGCTCTCCCTGTCCGTGCCAACCCCTCAGTGAGTCTGGACGGCACGTGCACGCACATTCATCACTGGCATCCACTGTTGGATTCAGGTTGGGTCATATCCTCTGGTGCATCTGCTTTCCTCATTCCCTTGGGCATGTGATGGCACTGCTTCCTTGTGGTTAGACCCCTTGGCAGATCTCGGCTGGGGCCTCTCTGGCCTGGCGTCTAATACCCCACTCACCTTCCTTCCCTTCATCCCTCCCCTCTCCCATCAGAGCGCAGGCCCCTCAAGTGACCCCCTCTCAGGCCATCCACCCGCCCGGCAGAATGGCCTCCCCCACCGAGAGCCGGGAGAGAGAAGCATTGGACCTTGGCGTCCACGGGAGGAGCCTGTTTGAAGGCTGAAATGGGGGCCCCTCTCCCTGCCTCCAGAGAGAAGCCGCCTGTGGCATTCACGCACTCTGGCGGAGAACGTTCTGCGTCTCTCCTCTGTCTGGATTTTTATCTTTGGAAGACAAAGCTTGATTTGTAAATACGCTCTTAATGTGCAACTTTGGGAATAAAATAGAAACATCATGGATTTTAAGATAGAAGATGAAGTGTGACACACTGTATACAATTTAATATATATTTTTAGGAATTTTGTTATTTAAGAAAATGGAATGTTCCAGTACTTAACTTTACGGAAAAGAGAGAAAGAAATGTTATTTTACTGTCTGGAGAAAATAAATTTTCTCACTGTTGTAAACCAACTGGTGTTACCAAACATTTTCATTTCCCCCAGGATGCCACCATCCCCAGAGGCCTCTGGGAAAGGAGAGGACATGGGAGTTGGCCTAAACACTGGGCCATGGCTTATTCTAGGGTCTTTCCTAATGTAGAGATGATTCAGACATTAGTGCTGTGTCCAAACACAGGATTTAGGCTGAAGGCATCTGATGGCATCGGACATTAATGTAGGTTTATAGAGTAGAAAGTAGACTGGGAGTCAGTCCACCAACGAGCTTTTATTAGGCACTTAGGGTATGCCAGATGCTCTTGCCAAGTGCTGGGGCTAGAAAGAGAAGCAGAATCACTGGGAGACATCATGTAAAAGAGACATTCAAGGTTTGGGCTGAGCTCTAGCCCAGGTGTGTGCGTCTCACGGAGTGTCCTTGGGCCGGTCACTCACCCTGTCTTACCTTCAGTTTCCCTCTAAAATGTGAGTTATGTAAGGTCCAAGCGCACCCTGCATTCCAGGTCTATGGTTCTAGTCAGTCAACAAGCATTTATTAAGTGCCTACCATATGCAAGACTGTTGACAACTAACAATGCCTTCTCCCTTTAGAAATTCCCATAGTCAGTGAGTAGGAAGGGCAAAGGAGGAGAGCGCAAAGAAAGTTAAATTTGGATTCAAAGGACCTGAGTTCAAATCCAGCCTCTGCCACTTAGTATCGCTTGTTGACTCTGGGCAAGTCATGATTTTCCTCCTGTTTAAAATGAGGAGAGGACTAGAGACCGCTTGTGATCCCTCGTAGCTCTAAGGGACCAGAGCTAGGATTGGAACCCTGACTGCTCATTGACCTAAAGGGGTGAACCCAGAGGCATCTGGTCTCTGATGTAGAACAGTGAACACTTGGTGACCAAAAGGCGTTACCGGGTCCCCTCAGCACCCACATCAGCTTCCACACTGAAGGCAAAGCGCCAGGACAGACGGCTCCTGACATTTCCGAGACGTTGGCTCCCAGGCTTCAAGCAATTGGCAACAGCAAAATTATGATACAAGATTCCCTCATTTAACATAATCTGCATAACGGGGAAGGGGGGTTGTAATTTAAGGGAAACCCACCTCTGAACCTGCCCATCTCCACGCTGCTTTGGACTTGTGATCTGCAGACACACGAAGGGTCCATGTTCGCTCTGACGTTTGGTCCGGAAGAGAGAAGACCTGGGGGCCAGGGGGTGGGGAGGGGAAGGTACCTGACCATTGTCTTCCACATATGAAGAAGAGGAGATTTTTTCTGCTGGTCCCAGGGTGGAGGCGGGCGAAAGGAGGTGTTTCAGAGAGGATAGTTTAGGGAAAGCTTCTTAGCTTGAACACAGAATGTCAGCGCTGTGAGGAGCCTTAGAACAGGGGACGTCAGGACCGGGAGGGAGCTTAGAACAGGGAAATATCAGGGCTGGGAGGGGCCTTAGAACAGGAGATGTCAGATCTGGGAGGGAGCTTAGAACAGGGAATGTCAGGGCTGGGAGGGAGCTTAGAACAGAGGATATCAGGGCTGGGAGGGACCTTAGAACAGGGAAGATCAGGGCTGGGAGGGACCTTAGAACAGGGAAGGTCAGAGCTGGGAGAGGCCTTAGACTGGGGGATGTCAAAAGTAGGAGGAACATTAGAGAGCTATCGCTAAGTGAAATGGATTGCCTCAGGAGGTAGTGGGTTCCCCATCCCCATAAGTCTTCAAAGACTGGACTGTTCTTTGTTGAAGAGGATGTCCAGCCCCTAAAGTCATCCTGTCCATCCTCCAGCTCTGTGATGCCATCTCTCCTGGGGCGCCCACCAGGCAGTGCCCTGGCAGTCTGGGTCCCTGGCTGAGTTTTACATTTTGCCAACTGACTTTCTAAAGTTAGACGATTGCCCCTGATGTAGCAAAGAATTCTAAACTGCACCATCTCAGCGACGTAAACCAGGTTCTTTGGTCGGTAGAAGGTGAGGATGAGAGTAGCTTGCTGGGGTTCCCAGAAATGGGGGAGAATAGGACTTGGGATTCAGGCTCTGTTTTCCACCTGCTCTTCTGAAGAAACCCCAGCGCCAGCTCCTCGAGGTCCAATCCCAGCCTCCTTTGCGGGAGACCCTCACTAACTCAGACATTTCCCTAGTACCCACCAAGGGCAGGACTCGAGTCCAGCTATGTGTGCAGTGGGCAGTGAGGAGGAATGGGAACCAGGCAGGTGCGGCACCATCTCAGGCAGGGGTCTTACACAGACCTGAAGGGGTGATCATGCTGCTCACCCCTAAGGTCCCATTATCTGCCCCCCTTCTACTGGAAGACCCGTGCCCTTGGGGGGAGGCCCTGGGTCTCTTCCTCAGAGAAGTGTCTATACCCAGTGAGAACAATTCAAGGAAAGAACTGGGCCAGGCCGTCCATCCCTCTGGAGCCCCATTTCATCTCAGGTGCCCCAGAGCAGGTGACCTGATTCCCTTGAAGTCATCCTTTTGGGGTTATTCCTCATCTTCTAGATCGCTTCATCTCCTCTGTCTCTGGCTTTTCCCAACACTTCCCCCGCCCTCCCCAGGGACAAGTACTTTTGTAAAGCTCTGGCCTTCAGTTCCCTCTCCAAGCCAGGGAGAATGGGAGAGGAGTGGGGTGTCCTTATCTAGTGATTTGTCTTATCCAGGGCACAAAGTACAGTGGATAGAGCACCGGGCCTGGAGTCAAGGAGATCCATCTTCCTGAGTTCAAATCTGGCCTCGGACACTTCCTAGCTGGGAGACCCTGGCCAAGTCAATTAACCCTGTCTGCTTCAGTTTCCTCATCTGTAAAATGAGCTAGAGAAGGAGACGGCAAACCACTCTGGTATCTCTGCCAAGAAAACCCCAAATGGGGTCACAGAGAGTCCGACACGACTGAAAAATGACTCAATCACACGAACCCTGTGGATAACAGCATACGGCTAGATGGCTTCTCAGGCTATTTATTATGTGTCCAAAAACCAACTTTGGATTAGAAGAGACCAGGGTGAGGGATGGTTGCCTCCGATCCCCCTGTAAAAATGAGGAGTGGGCTCGCTGGTCTCCAAGGCCCCTCCCGGCTTCATCGTCCTACAGCAGATGAAAGAGCTCAGAGGTTGTTAACCCTGACTGTGGACATCCACCCAAGCCTCCGAGGTGCCCGAGGTGCCAAGCCTTCCCCATCAGGGAGCCGCTCCCAGGGGCAGCTCCGGCTCCATTGTTTGTCAAGGATTCAAAGGCCCCTCTTCCTGTCGAGAGAAAAGAGCCGGACAAGAGTGACCTTGTCTCCCGGCCTGGAAGTCACATGATCTCCCCCGCCAGGACCATGCGTGTTTGGGAGATTGCAGCTTCTGAGTGACCCGTGACTCATGGAACTGGCTGCTTTTGTTTCTCCATGTCTGGGTCCAGTCCCCATGGGGGGGATTGTTTTCCCTGTCCTGAAAGAGGCGCTGATCGGGGGTAGGCAGGGGGTGTGGAATGTCTCAGGCTCGGGAACCGGCAACATTTGCTTAGAAGCTGAAAGTCTCTGGTTCTGGTCTCCAGCTGGAGCCTGTGGGACCGGGTTTCCGCCAGGGCCCCAGGGAGGCTGTCGTGAGGGCGATGCTGGTGACGCTGGGGACGGAGGCCACACTGACTCACAGCCTGGAGACCGGCTTGGAAACGTGCAGCTGCACCCCTCCATTCTCTGAAGGCCCCTGAAAACCCTAGTTTGCCTGATGGGTGAATTTCAAAGCACTGTCCAGCCCATCATACTAATTAATCACTCAGCTTCAAAGTCAGCGTGCCACAACGAGTCTATGAGGGAGGGACAGCGGGATTGTGGTATCCATTTTACAGATGAGAAAAATGGGCATGAGATGACTTAGCTGAGAAGTCTAACAGGTAGGATTCAAACCCAGGAGCACTCTATCCGCTTCACAGACTGTTCCCATTATCTCTGTAACACATGGCCCAGGGAAGGAGAAAATAAGCATTTGTATGGTACCTACTAACATGCCAGGCACTGTGCTAAGCACTTTGCTTAGGGCTCCTAGAAATTAGATTGAGGCTTGAGGGAATGACTGTAAAAGATCGATTTTCTTTCATTTGTTATTGTTCCCATCCAAATTTGACTCTGGAAAATATCTGAAGCTGGTTTGTTTATAACTCATGTCTAGGAGTCCATAAATATGGAAAATAAGGTCCCCAGTTCCTATACAAGCACTTAGGTAACAAATGCATGCCCAGAAGAGGACAGCCTGTCTTTCCCTCCACAGAAAAAGTAGGAGCCCATAAATAGATACCAAAAAACCATAAGACACTCACAATAGCCCATGAGTTCTCTTCAGAAGGGAACTAAATTTGGGGTTACCAGCAGGGCAATACTTTGACATTCCTATGAAATCCCTCTCCCACAGAGTCCTACAGAATCTTTTCCAGCCTTTTAGTGCCACCCTTTGGCTTGGGCACCCCCACAGAAGGTAAACATAGTCTGGGGCTCCCATAGGCCCATCAGCAGCAAGACAAGGACAGGTCTTCTGATCTTCCATTCATGGCTTTAATCCTTTACTGACTCTCCAGCTACAGGGGCCACATGGGTGGTCTCCTTCCTCCAAGAAGTACATTTTTTAGGAACTCTCTTCTCACTGGAAGACTAAATCTCCAAATTCTTGAACTTGAGATTCCTCTGAGGGCAACCCCCAAGACTTGGGCAGCCCAAGAAATCTCTTGGCTTTGGAGAGAACACAAACCACCATAGCAGAAGAACCCAGCAGGCTGAGAGGCTTCTCAATGGGCCTGGCGTCTAAGAGGAAAGAGACTAGATGTCATCTTGGTACAAGAAACAAAACCAAATATCAAGAGGGTAAAATATGATGTACAAAGAAAGGGCTGGGGTTTGGGCCCATCCCACAACAGGGGCACATGTTTAACACGGAAAGCAACCAGGATGGTGAAAGGCCTGGGTTTCATGTCTTGGGAAGACCATGTGAAGGAACTAGAGAGAAGGGAAGACTCAGGGAGTACATGACAGTTGTCTACAAGTATGAGAGGAGCTACTT